TGAGGTATTATTTATAACTATACCTTAAAATCTAGTGGTTTTCTCCCCAAAATTTCTCAGAGAGGGAAGAGCCAGCGAGTGTAGTGTGAGAAAAGGGGGAGGGAGTCGAGTCCATTATTTGAATGGACATTAACGTGGCGACTGTATTTCTCTTAAGTATTAATTGTGTGCATGTACCATCATAAAATTAAGATGTTATTTTTACTAGAACATAGGTATTGTGTCGGAAAACGTGGAGTTTGGGGGTCAGCCGGTCTCTATTTCATTTAATCCCATATGCTATGTTGTTCACTTTACGTGTTTCTCACTTTCCGCGGTACCCTGTGGGTTGAATTAACCGCGTAAAGTGAGGGTTCACTGTACATATACATAACTTTCTTCATTTATTTCAACTCATTTACATGCACACAACATCCTAAATACAGTGGTCCCTCGGTTAACGAACACAATTCGTTCCAGAAAGTCGTTCTTTAACCGAAACCATTGTTTCAATGGAATTTTGGGTAATTGGTTCCAGCTCACCGAAAATTACATGCAAAGTAAAAAAAAATGCAGTAAAGTACACTTACTTTGAGGTGTGTATGTAGAAGGCTCCTGGTTGATGATGATGATGGGAATTAGAAGTGGGGGTGGAGGAGAAGGGAGAAGAGAAGGAAGTGGGGGTGGAAGAGAAATCGCCCCATGCTTGATGCCATCATTTCACCCATAAAATTTTTTGTTCACTAGGTGTAATTCAAGGTTATTTTCTTTAAATCAACACTGCACTGCACTATATATTGTCAATATGTTAAATAAATTTCAGAATGACCAATAATTGTACTGTATTGTGAAAAGGTAAAACTATTCTGTGTTCAAGAGACCCACAAGCAAGATGTTTCCTCCACTGAACAGAGATACAAACTGAGGCCTTGGTGGGTGAGTGAAGTGGCTGATGGGCACACCAAAAACTAGTTCCCTGTACTGCAATTATGTTAAATAAGTGTTAAAATTACTAAAAATTTTCGTATAAAACTTGGAAAATTATTAAATAGTACAACCTTCTTGATATTTTCTCCAATTTTAACGAATGTAAGCCCTAGAACCGATTTCTGTATTGGCGGACTAATCTTCCAGCTGGTGAGCAAGCCAAAGCATGTCGAAACATTTTTGTAAGAATTTCGTTAACCGAAATGAAGATTCTTATGGAAGGTAATTCGTTAACCGAAATTTTGTTAACCGAGGGACCACTGTACATATTGTGAAAAAAATAAAAGAAATAATAGTCCTAAGGGCAAAGCTGTACAGTAAAGCCTCGAATAACGACGTTAATGTGTCCTCCAATATTGCAGTGTAAGGTGAATCGTCTTATCGCGAATCAATAATTACCATTAAAATAAAGCAATAATGAGATGTGTTACCAAGTGTGACCTTTTCATATCTTTTGTGTGGCTTTTTACCCTCTTTTCCCCAAAAACAATACAATTAATGAAAACTGCAAACTATATTCTTTAAATAATGTTTCTCAATGCACCTTATACAATATAAATGAATAATAATATGGTCACACAAGCGGAGTTGGGACGCCATTGTTTTTGTTAGTGTTTACAGCCGGGAGTCAAGAACGATAGTTCTACATGAGAAAATGAAGAAAATAAGACCCTGGTTGTAGCTGTAGTAAATTTAATGTAAAAAAAATTACTATACAGTCAACCCTCACTTTAAACGGTCCTACTTTACGCGTTTCCACGTTTACGCGGTACCGTGCCGAAACCGGAATGCTCACTTTCCGCGGGGTGTGTACCCTTTTACGCGGAGAGCGGTGCAAGCAGGGTGCGCACAAGGTCGCCCAGTCATCAAAACATTACCGAGTTCTTCACCCGCCACCCACCACAGCCGGCCCAAGTCAGTGATAGTGATAATGATAGTGAGGATATGGACTTATATGGACTTTGAGGAGTTTGACAAAGAGGCCCTGCAAGCCTCTGTGGTGGATAGTGATACAATTGATACAAGTGATACAGGTGAGGGCCAATAATCTGCCCTCTGCCTCGGAACCAACCGCCCATCCCCGTGTGCCCAGCCATCTTTTCTACTAATGTAAGTGTTAAAAAACCTAGTATTATTGATATTTCTCTTAATTATTAATTGTGTGTGCATACCATCATAAAATTAAGAAGTTATTTTTACTACAACGTAGGTATTGTGTCTGAAAAAGTGGAGTTTGGGGGTCGGCCCGGTCTCTATTTCAATTAATCCCATATGTTATGTTGTTCACTTTACGCGTTTCTCACTTTACGCGGACCGCCGTGGGTTGAATTGACCGTATAAAGTGAGGGTTCACTGTACAGTGACCCCTCGGTTAACGAACTCAATCCGTTCCAGAAGGTCGTTCGTTAACCGAAAAGTTCGTTAACCGAAACCATTGTTTCAATGGGTTTTTGGGTAATTGGTTCCAGCTCACCGAAAATTGCCTAAATTCAACAAAAATGGTAGAAAAGTTCACTTACTTTGAGGTGTGTATGTAGAAGGCTCCTGGATGATGATGATGATGGGAATTAGAATGGGGGTGGAGGAGAAGGAAGAAGAGAAGGCATTGGGGTGGAAGAGAAGTCACCCCATGGCACCATTTCACCCAAAAATTTTAGTTCTCTTGGTGTATTTAAAGATTATTTTCTTTAAATCAACACTGCACTGCATTATATATTGTCAATATGTAAAATATATTTCAAAATGACCAATAATTTGCTTGGAAACACAGAAAAAAAGCGTTTAGTTGAAGAGAGTCTCAAGCAAGATGTTACCTCCAGTGAAAACAGAGAGAGACTAACGCCTGTTTGTTGTGTTAAGAGGCTGGATGCCGCGCATTAAACTAGTCACTTTACCTTCAATTATGCTCAATAATTGTTAAAATGACAAAAAAATTGAATATTAAACTTTTAAAATTATTGAATAGTATAAACTTCTTGATATTTACTAAAATAGTAAGGAATTTAAGCCCTAGAACCGATTAATGTATTGGCGGACTGATACTAAAGCTGGTTGACCGGCCAGTGCAAGCGAAAACATGTTGAGGTCGGTTCGTAAGAAATTCGTTAACCGAATTTAAGAATCTTAAGGAAGGCAGTTCGTTAACCGAGGGACCACTGTACTGTATAAAAAATGCACAAATATTAAAGAGCACAATTTTCTTGATATTTACTCCAATGGAAACAAATGTAAACATAGAAGAGATTGCTGAATTGGCTGAGTACCTCCTCAGATTATAAGCTGATGTTCAAAACAAAATGTGATTTTCGTAGGGATTTTGTTAATCAAATTTTTTTTCGTTAACCGAATTGAAGATTCTTATGGAAGGCAGTTCGTTAATCGAAATTACATTAACCGAGGGGGCCCCGTTGCGGGTCGATGACCTGTGCCCGAGTGGGCTATTCCACGTGACAAAAAAAAAAAAAAAAAAATCCATTCTTACACAGATGATTATATTATTCACCCTTCTTCACATTTTCCCCTTCCCCCTAATTCTCAAACTAGATCTGTTTCTAGAGCTGATATTACATTTATCAATGAGGATCTGTGCTGCATCTCAGAATGGGGAGGTAGATTCTTGGTTAAATTCAATATAGTAATTCCGCACTTATTGTTGTTTTGGTACTACCTGTACCTTGCTAAACTTTGGACACCAAAAAATCGTTTAACGTCCCAGTGATCCGATACTACGTCGTTTTGCGTCGTCACAGACTACTTTCTAAGGCGCATCACCCGCTCTTGTCTGGCCGCGCTACGCTCTCTCGGCTCGTCACAGTCTTAGTGACTCGCCACCCTCCTCCTCCGCTCCAGCCATACTCCTCCCCTCCCGCCATCCATCTCCTCTGCTTCACTACCCACCACACGCTGACTCTACCACCTCCGCCCATCGGTGATTACCAATACAAACTTAGTAGTTGTATGTGTATGATTTTCTGTATATGTAATGTATTTCATGGGGCAAAGGGAGGCTCAGGAAAGTAACTCCCATATTTTATCTATTTCTTATGGGGAATACTGATCCTCTTAACGTTGTTTCGTATAATGTCGCATTTTTAGGAATGTAACCCCGACGTCAAGTGAGGACTTACTGTAGTAATAAAACTCAGTATTTACCAATTACACTTTCCAAATTAGATGATCTCCCACCAGTCACATTTCAGGACGCAATAATTCTGCCTAATGCTAAAATAGATATGCTAGGCATCACCATTTCCTCTAATATGTCATAGAAGCCACACATCCACAAGATTGCTAAAGCTGCCCCCCAAAAGCTGGGAATGTGTAGCTACTTCACCCCTGAGCAGTTGCTTGAAGCATATAAGGGATTCATTCTTCCTAACTTGGAGTACTGCTCTCATATCTGGGGTGGCTCTTCTTCTGTCCAACTGTTAGATAGGGTGGAATGAAAGGCATTTCGTCTTATTAACTCTCCTCCTTTAGTTGATAATCTTTCTTCCCTTTCTCTTCGCCGCAATGCACCACTGGCGAGGCCGTGGGCTCGTAACACTCGTCTTGCCTGCGGTGCCCACTGTTTCTCTGTGGATGTCAGTCACACTAGAATAACCCGCTATAGTATATCGTTCTTTCCTCACTCAGCCAAACTGTGGAATGCTTGGCCTTCATCTGTGTTTCCATACGCATACAATCTGTCTCACTTCAAAAAGCTGGTTTTCCGGCATCTTCGAGATGTAGATTAATATAATTTTTTCTTTTCTATTTTAAAATTCTTTTTACTCTCATTTTTTCGCCCCCTAGGCCCTGTTGTGGGTCAATGACCTGTGCCCGGATGGGGTATCCCTCCCCCCCCCACCAAAAAAAAAAAAAATCTTATAAGAACATGCTGAACCACACCTACCTGATGTAGCAAATTCTACATGATGGGAGTTTGTGTTGTTCTTCACCCATGAACTAAACTTCCAATTTCTGCTTGTGCAACAAGTGAGATTACACTTAAGGCTTAACCAATGTATACAAAAGCACAAATATTCACCCACCTTCAAAAGAGGAGGCATTTCCATAGTTTGTGGAAAAATCTTTTGTTCAGGAGGTGTAAAATTTTCATAGGACTGCAAATATTTAGCTTCCTCAATTTTATGTATTAAACGAAAGTCAGTTTTGTAAGCGACTTTAGACATATTCACTACACCACAGTTTTTGCCACGGAAAACCTTCTCTACGAGTATTTTTCCTTTCATGTTATCCTGAAAAAGAAAGAAAAGTATTATTTTTTTGTTAACTAACATCAGAACTTGCATCTAGAATCAGGGATATTGAAAAGTGAATAATAATAATTAATGCAGTAGAGCTACTTTGGGAAGAGAGTTGGTTGTTAAAGCATAACTTCCAACGAAGCATCTTACACAATACAGTACAGTACAATGGAGTCTTGATAATTTATGAAATAAAAATTTGCATTCTTAAATTCAAGGGTGCCTCTGTCACTACCTCTCTTTAAATTTATTGGTCATGTATTATCATTTCATTGCTATAATTTGCCTTAGAAATAAAGAAAATATAATATAAAACTATAAATAAGAAAACTCTCTCTCCAGCTGAGTGCACAGCCCCGACCATATTAATACAACATTATGCATTTTCACCATAATTCCCATATTATTTAGGTTCAATTGATACCTGGTTAATAAAACATTATTGTAAAGTACAGTAATAAATTCTCACAAAAAAAAAATCCCAAACTCAACTCCAGATACATAAAGTATTTCAGTGATAAAAGTTACTTCTGTCAATATTTTATTTCTAACTGCTCTAACCTCACTAAAGTTTTACAGGAATACCCCAGTTATTGCAAGGGATGAGTACCTAAAAGTCTTTACAATTAATGAAACTGCAAAAATCAAGGCAATTATCCTCATAACAATTAATATAAATAGGGGGGAAGCATTCCCAGACAGCAACTTTCACCACACAATTTTCAGTATGGTTATCAGGGACCAGAGTTGCATGTATACTGTAGTACCAGTAGATGTGAGGGATATATGACAATTATACTAATAAATAAAATACTGTAAAAGAATAAAATACAGTATTGCCAGTGTGCAATAGTTTCACTATACACGGGAGACGGGAGGAGCTAAGATCTCCACTACCATTCCATCCTCCCACAATCCGGGCAACTCCAACAGCTGTAAGAAATGTTCATCGTCATTATGTTTTTGACCTTATGAAAATTGTGGGTGCATGCAACAGAGCAGAGAAGAAAAAAAACTATGCGTAAGGTATCTAACTGAAAATGAGAATTGAAAAATAACAACAAACAACTCACAGCACACACTAACGTGGGTCACTTCACCACCAATGTCAACAACACTCACCAGCACCAACAGTCACTACCACCACCACATTTCTGTCACAACCACTACCTCAAACTATCCACCACCCTCCATGACCACGACTACCTAACACTACCCACCTCCAGCACACTCCCATGAACCCCACTACCACACTACTGTGACCACCAGCGACCATTACCACACTACTTTCACCACCACACTACTACGACCAAATGAACCTAAATAATATGGGAATTATGGTGAAATTTCATGCTATTGATATAAAGGGATCGTAGGCTGCTGAGTGGGTGGTGGTGAGATGTCCTCCCTCCCTCCTCCGTCACCCCTTACCTACACATCCAAATGTAGTTTTGTAACTTTTATAATTCATATTTTATTCCTATAATTTATTCAACTTAATCCATTTCATAATATATTCCTATAATAATAATCGACTTTACGGAACCGCATGATTAGTTCAGATTCATTCCAAATTAAAATTGTTTATTCATAAAAACAAAAAAATATGAATTAAGCCAAAATACAAATTAATTAGGGTACACAGTACTGTATGGGTGACTTGACAATGCATTAAGTCAGTACAGACATTCCCGGTTTACGGAAAGGTTCCATTCCTGGTCTCTTATCTGCAAGCCAAATTTTTGGGGAAACCAAAAAGACCCTGCCATAAGGTAACTATGTACTGTACCTTGTACTGAATCACAGATGGTGTCTCACAAGGGGATGAGCTCAGCCGCCTTACGCATAATCCTCCACAAATAGTGTTGTTACGCCACACTAGTTAGTTACCTTCCATAATAATAGAAACTCTTGCGCAACCCCAAAATTTTTATAATAAGACTTATGGGAGGCATTCTGTATCCTTGAATTTCTGTAAACTGAGTGTTCTGTAACCTGGGGAGTGTCTGTAATACAAAACCACTAATCTGTTATCGCCGCTGGCTTCAGCTACAGTGCTGGCGTGTGATGCCATTAAATCTTTCGACCTGTGACCTGGCCAGATGTAGAAGTATTTACAGGCAAGTCCTGGTTCTGCTGAGTGGACTGTCTTCGGCGGGTGGCGGTGCTGCCTGCCCCGCCATGAGATAGATTGCCCTCTCTAGTGATGCTGTTAAGACCAGTCTTCTGCTCTCAATGGTGAACACCGACTCACAATCCTGTCCGAGAATTTGTGCTGAGACAATTTACGCAGTACTGTTGTCTCTTGGAACACCATACTGATCTGCATTGACCCGCACTTGTAAGTACAGCTAAAGAGATGACATACCCCTCGGTACTGAAAAATTGTTGACTAATTACGCCTACTCATTTCTGCCTAACTTGGAGTAATAAGACAATGCAGAATGAAGCGAAGCTAAGATTAATAGAGTTATGAACTTTGTGTTATGTCACTATGTTTAATAAATTGTAATTAAGATAAATAGTGTGAGACTAACTAATTATGTATCAGATGGATCACCTTGTAATATTATGAACATCCCCTCTGGAGGTTTTGACCACATCAATAAATACTGAATGCATCAAAAGGCGGGTTTCAATCATTCCCTTCGACTTGCCCGTCACCTAAACGTCCTTAACCAAGGCGTTTACAAATCCCTTAACCCAATTTCACTGCAAATGAGAGAATTTTATATACAATGGGTGATCTGATATTACATCGAGAGAATGAGGAGGAACTTCCTTTTCCACAGACAATGTTTCTTATCACTATTTTCTATTTATTTTTTAATTACTACTCTATTTTTCTTTTTATTTCTTTACATACTTAAACAATTATGGAGGGTATAGACAGGAAGTAGGTGGAGTAGAGAGTAGTAGAGGCAGGGTGTGATGGGTAGAGGCAGGGTGTGATGGGTAGAGGCAGGTTGTGATGGGTAGAGGCAGGGTGTGATGGGTAGAGGCAGGGTGTGATGGGTAGAGGCAGGGTGTGATGGGTAGAGGCAGGGTGTGATGGGTAGAGGCAGGGTGTGATGGGGAAAGGAAGGGTTGATATGGTCACTACCCCCCCCCACCCCCCCCCAAAGGGCCACCTTGTCCTTTCCCCCTTGTAACCAAGTGTATGGTGTATGTTTCATCATCAAGAATATATTATACATAGAATATTAAATAATAGAAAGAAAATACAATATATGACTACAAAATTAAACGAAAAGCTAAATTAGTGATGGTGGGGTAGCAGTACCAGAGCAGACCGAGGGATGAATGACTCAGCAATGTTGAAGAACTCAAGGATGCTTTAATTAGTGCTGTACTTCACTCTGTATTTCATACTTTCTAACTTTACTTTCCTTTTCACCTTCTTACATCTTCAGAGACAATGGCTCTCTTCTCTACATCTCTATTACTACTATTACAGGCAATGTTACCAGGACTTTAAATGTCACAGCAAAGCTTTCATCACTGCTTATTTTACGCCTCAACAATTCAAGGAGAATCCAGTGACAATGACCCAGCCACTGTGGAGATTGGTTATGAAGATGAAGTCGCTTTACAAGTGTCTGCAGTCAATTCTGAAGGCTTTGAATCCGACTAGCCTTCACCCCCTACCCTGGCCCCCCATGGTCTTCCAGAGCTTCCCACTTCTCCAGTATTCGGTGGAGACAGTGGAGTATTGCATAATTAACTTCCTGGACTTTCTCAAAATATTTATTTAATAATGTAGATGCAGTTTATGTGACATTGTGTGTCATTTTTGGAAGGTTAAGTTGGTTACTCAAAGTCTTTCTAGAGTAAAGGTCTGGTGAGTCCAGTGCAATAGAGCGATTCTAACACATGATAAAGGGAATTACTTTGTGCAGATTTCTGATATGCGATGTGTACCGGTATGATATACTGTACCCATACAAAATAAGACCCCACTGTATTGCTATGTGAAAGTGGTACACAGTATAATAAGGGTGACCAACAGTTACAGTTAATGGTAAAGGGTCTGGAGATGATAAGGGGCAGATCCAGGAATAGCAGAAGGGAGGGGGGGTCTGAGAAGTTGTGGGTGGGGGAACATGGGGGCACAGCGAGTCCACCCAGCAGACCAATAATCACGGGCATTTTGAGGCCATTTGGACTTGATATTAGGAGATATTCCAAGATAAATAGTAATTACTTTTTACAATACAAAAATGACTGAGTACAATACTGTACTGTATTAAAGAAAAAGTATTGGAATTTTCTGATGAAAATTGGGGGTCTGAGCCCCCAGGATCTGCCCCTGTGATATATATTGTATAAGAACTTTATCAGATTCAAGGTATAAAATTTGAAATTAGAAAACTTATTTATGTATTTCGATGAATAAAGTAACACAACAGAGTACTGGCAGAAAAGAATTACCCATAATACTAAAATATTGCAGTTAAAATAGAGCTATTCTAACATGTGGTCTCCCAACTTTGTACAATCAATTTTATTCAGCCAAAATACATTAAACTTTCTCACAAAAGAGGTCTGTTCACAGTTTCATATCAGTAAAGTTTACTGCATTTCTAAATTCCTATTGCAATTTTCCCTCATCTTCCTCATTCTTTCCATTGTAAAAAAACATTATTTCTTGTGGATATTGTATAAACAAACTGCACAACTCTTTTCTTTTCAATATCCAGGCAGACCTCTTATAACAGACATACAGTAGAAGTCCAAAAATCCGGACTGCTTGGGAATTGGGTCGGTCCGGATTTTTTGATTTTCCGGATTCTCAGGCAGTACTTTTAAAATTCAAATTTAAGGAGGAATAAAGAAGAGATAAACAGGTACACTTTGATAGTTTATTCATTAGCAAATATAGCATGCTTCATTTACCAAAACGAGCAGTTTTAATGAAAAAGCTGTGAATTCTAGAATTTTATTCTTTGTCTTTTTTATATCATAAATTGTAGACTTTCCAATGTCGTATG